GCAGCAGATGAATGTAAACAAACAGACACATCATATATGTGCGTGACGCTGAGAAAATGCTAGTAGAAGTGCAGACGCTGCTTAGATTGACGAGAATACGTAAATTCCCCTATGTATGTTTCGGGTTGATTTTTCCGTGGTCTTCCTTTGGTGGGTCTGTATTCCGCAGTGTCACAAAGAGCGACAGCTTCACCTTCTACTTCGTCAAAACGGTTTCGCTCTCCTTGCAAAAATGAATCCAGTGAATCATACAAATCAACCACCTTCTTCAAATCGACATCGATGCCCTGCATTGCTTTGCTTGTCTCGTTAAAGCGTAACAGAATGCGACACCAGATCTTGGTCATCAAAACAGTTTCGAGGAGATCCATTCTATCAGCTAGTGAACGCGATTCATATCTTGTTGCAGGAGATTGGTCATTCGCAGCTTCAATATGTCTCAACGCCTTCCTAATGCTTCCATATCCTTCAAGGAGAGCTTCAGTTGCATCGGCACGTGCTGACCAACGAGTATCGGAGAGAGATTTAACCGCTAATTTCCTTTCATTGCCTTTCAAAAATTCGTTTAAAATATTCCATCGCCAGGTAGATGCAGAAAGGAATGTACCGTTCCGATTCAAATTTCGGACGATTCAAATTTCGGAAACTTTCATTTTTAATTAAATATTACATCCAGTTAGAAACAAAGTAATAATGTTAGATGATCGTGGAGGGCACTAGTCAAAAAAAATTAAAATTTACAAGACATGTGGATCATATTCGACCGAGATAATCAACTTTTAAAAGTGTCCGAAATTCGAGTTTAAGTGTCCGAAATTTGAATCGGCACGGTATACAGTTTTTGAACGAAGCTGAAGTAACTAACAGCTTCTAGACAGCCAGAGACAGCCGCATGACCTACTAGGTTCAACGAATGAGCTGCACAGGGAACGAAAACAGCAGATGGATTTTTCTCAAGAAGTCCAGCCATGTTAGACGCGTTGTCATATGACTGTCCACGACAGTCATCGAAATTAATTCTTTGATTTTTAAGAAATTCTAGCAAAGTGTATGATAGGTCACCTGCTTTATGAGAGTTGGGCTGCAAGAAAGTCAAGAATCTATCCACTGGTCTGCCAGAAACAACATATCGCAAGATTACTGTGAGCTGATCAGTATGAGTGAGATTTGGTGTTGAGTCCACTGATACAGAAAAGTATTTGGATGAAAGCATCCAATTATGATGAAATTTTGAACCTTCTTTGCCATTAGTAGCAAAATTTCTTCATAAACAGTGGATGATAAATACGATTCCCGACCACTTCCAGCATTCCCAAAATTCTTTAGGTGACTCATCAATAGCGGATCAAATTGAGCAATGAGTTCCATTATTCCCAAAAAGTTGCCAGTGTGTTTGGAGTCAATAATATCGCCAAAAAGATAATGACAGCAATAGTACGACGCAGAATTTCTCGTCAGTACAATCGTTCTTCTTTTACCTGAGCTTCCAGTTCCTTATCTACGTGACTCGAATCTGAACATCGCAAATTGTACTTCAGTAGCGCTTCTCGATGTGGCTGACCTTGCTCATGTGTTTTCATTTTTTCCTCCGATTTCTTCCAATTATTGAAACCTTCTTCTCTGGAAAACGCTTCGCGGTTTGTTGTCATGAGTGTGCAGTAGAAGCAGTAAACGGAACCTGATGAACCAGTGACGAATTATTAAACTGAATTGATAAAAAATGGCATAATCATACCTTTTGATAAACTGTAGATGAGCCATTTCCTGTGTCTGGTGTAAAACATCGAGTTTTTGAAAAAGCGATTAATACTGCCAGTACAACCATAGAGGTAACTCTAAGACTACAAGGTCCCGAAGAAACGTGCTCAACTTTTTGGCACAGCTCTGGTACTCTCTTCGGTCCCAAGCTAATCGATGCACCCCTCGAAACATAGGAAAATCCACGAACCCATCATTTTATCTGTCAAACTTTCATAGCGAATCAAAACAAACATAGTGTAGTACTAGACTTTCGACTAGAATGGGGTATGTTAATTGATTTGCTTGGGACCAATAGGCTAGTCAAGTAGTGAGCCAATTTCAAATCGTTAGTTTTGTATTGATTGTTGGTACAACCGTCGGTCGGTTGATAGCAGCGTTGATAGATTCCGGGTACGAGTCAGATTCCTTTTTGTTTTGGTTCACTGCAGATTTAGCCAATAAAGAAACACGGTTTTCTGTGATTGGGAACCAGGTAGAAGGATCGCTGGACATTGTACCATCATATGTTTTCGAAGACCCAGCTTCAATATGATCAGCATTTTCAGTGCCCTTTGGAAAGGCAGCAACCACCTCAGAAGATTCTAAACCTTGTTCAGGTGTTTCAGCTGGTTTATCGGGTGAAGTAGGAGCAACGGGATCTTTTTCAGTTTTTGATTCACTACTGAAAAACTTCAAGAGACGAGGAGTTTTAGCCAGCACTGCTGCAACTTTCTCTGCCTCTGCTTCGAAGCTGTCCTCATCTGGCTGAGTCCAGCTCACTCAGGGGAGCCGATTATTTTGAACAGCTCATTAGCTCACATTGAAATTATAGAAATTTTGACACAAATTCAAAATTGGAAAAGAAATAAGTGGTTTTAGTGAACCTAAACCAATAAAGCTATACAGCCAGGAGAATTGCTCTCACTGTTCTTGGCTTCAGCTCCAGATCAGCAGCTTAGTTCCGAATCAGAAGCTGAATCGTGAAGAATCGAGATAAAAAAAAGATTCGAAGAGCTGGACGGGTCCAAGAGCTGTCATTCTAAACAGCTCCCACAGTGATTCATTCCGGTCGATGATTCGGATCTGGAGCTGAGTTGTGAGGTTGACAGCTGCATTTCGCTTTTCAGTTACCGTGAAGCTCTCTAATTCCAATCAGTATGTATATCAAGCCGATTTGTCACCAGTAAAACTACCCAAGTAACATTTCAAGTTTTATCGTGGTTTTAAAGTGTTCTACAAGTCTAAATCATGGTCTTCAGAATCCTCACAAAACCCAAATTGCTCCTTGGGTATGTAAACATATCCGGAGAACTTTGAGATTTGGACGTAATTGTTTTTGTAAACAAACACGTCTATCACCGATGCCTCGTTAATTGATACTCAATCTCGCAAACAAACCATACTAAATGATAGAGGAATCATTTATCTACCTGTATGTGCCGTTAATTGTTTCGATTGAGTTTTAATTTGCGAGAAATCAGCGATTGACGTGTTTGTTTACAAAAGCAATTACGCACTAATCTCAAAGTTCTCCGGATATGCAAATCTATATCGATAATGTTTCGATATTTAGAAATTATTAGATTGGAATTAGAAAGCTTCACGGTATTTGCGTTTGTTTGGATCTTCCACTCCCGATGAGAATGATGGGAGAGTTGAGGAATAACATCAGCAATAAGAGCCGGGTAGGTAACCCTAGTAGCACGCTTGTTACAAATCAATTGTAGAAACTTATATACGACTTATTTCAGTCATAAACAAGTTGCTGTAACTTATTGTAAATTGAACAACTGTAAATATCACCTCTTGAAAAGTTCATTGTAATGGTCCAAAAATCCAATAGGACATATGGTATGAGACACTAGAATCAAACCGCAGAAAATCAATCGTGCATCGTGTAGTTCCGGGAACCGATTCCGGTACCGGAGGCAATGAGAAAGAATAAAGTTTTCGCGAAGGTAAGATTGCAACTACTGTCTAGATATTTCGAGGGTGGTTTTGAAAAACAAGATGATTATTTTCCAGATCGCCAGCATATTAGGACATTAGAGCACACTGCAGAGATGCTTTCGGTGGCTATCAATAGCGTTTGCAATGTATCGCTGGAGGGATTACAGATTCCGTTCTTTACTATAGGACACTGGTAAGATTTAGCCACACCAGGTTTCGCTGCTTATCGTCGGCCAGCTGTGAAAACAAGATGCACTTTCGTTTGACCAAGTCCGCTGCATGTTGGAGCCCCGGGAGAGAACCTTCACTAAAGCCATCCGCCAAAGACAACATCCCTGATATCAACATGCTCTCATGTGCTCGCAGTATCACGCGTGATATTGGAACAAAATATCATGCTTGATATTGATTTTACAAGCTCCTTTGATATTGCGAGACTATTCACAACGTGCAAAAATCAAGCTGAGAGTTGACTCGACACAAAAATGATTCCTTTGCTGATCGTTTTCTTAGAAAGAGAAAGCATAGTTTGCTATCTCCTTTTAATCTTCACCGATGGCAGACGCGAAGGGACTGCTGCAAGCCGTTATGGAAGTTTCGGTTGCATTCGGGTGTAAAGCAAAAATCATTAAACTCAATCTCACCACAGTTTGGTGAGATTTGCAGTTGGTGAGTTTTGTTAGCATGATATTCTGAGCTGCAATATCACAGCTTACCAAATCAACCGCAGTTGTTTGCTTGTTGATTTTTGTGAGATTTGATTATTTGATATTTTTTTCAGTTACTTCAGAATTCAATCATCAAATGGCACTTGTTTGTTATTCTATTTTAAGACGTTTGCCTTTAATGGATTGCATGACTAAATGCCAGGTACAAAAGTTTTGGGTAAACTTTGCACTGCCAAGTAAAAACACAGATGGATGTTGTTATCAGAGAGAGCAGGGTATCCGTTTGAGCTTGTTCTGACTTTCGACAGCTTTATTATCGGTTGGTTCAAAACTAAAATAGGTGTAAAATAATTAATAAACTGTTAATTTCCTCCATAACCTTACTAACGATTCAGTAGCCCAATTACTCGAATCCACTGCTCACTTCAACTATGCTTTACAGATGGTCCTGGGCCTAAACATATTCAGTAATTGAGTAATCTTTTTACGTTAATACCTATATATTACCTATTCCAAATTTCTATTTAGTTGCAATAAACCGGTAATATTTCAATTCCAGTATCCAACAAATTTCACTAGTAAATTCAATATTTTCTCTTAGAACACGTTATATTAATAGTTTCATTGGCGTCTGCCCGTATATCATTGTTCGTCGTTCCTTTTGTCATCGTTGACAGTTAGTCCTACCGTCACGCATGAAGAACGCAGCTTCAATGCTCGGTTGCGTGGCCGGGCTCCCAGCTGGTCTGTCTTTGTGGCATCATTCTCCCCCCGGTGGAACCAGTGAGTCTCCTTGGTTCCATCTTCCTTGGCCACAACAAGAACTGCAAGCTTGGAGACCGGTCTTCTGAGTATACCTCCATTCGTTTGAACGATCGCCTGCCGAACTTTGCCATCCGCAGCAGTTATGGCTTCCAAAACGCGACCACGCGTCCATCCGTTCCTTCTGGTATCATCTATGATTATTACTAGGTCCCCTGCTGCAACATTCCTCTCCGAGCCAAACCATTTCGTTCTTCTAGTTAGTGTGGGTAAGTACTCCCGTACCCACCGCTTCCAAAACGAGTTCAGCCGTTCTTGGATCATGGCCCACGATCGCTTCAAGAGTGCGTTGTTATCTTCGTACTGCACGACTGGTTGCTTGACGCCGGCTGAGCTCCCTAGAAGGAAATGGTTAGGGGTGATTGCTTCCTGCTCCGCAGAGTCCAGCGGAAGGTAGGTCAACGGCCTGCTGTTGACTATGGATTCTGCTTCTACAATAATCGTGTGCAAAGCATCATCGTCTAGTTTTTCATTGTTATAGGCTGCCGTCAGCGCTGTTTTCACGGATCTGACCATTCGCTCCCAGGCGCCGCCCATGTGAGGGGCACCCGGGGGAATCAATCGCCAAGCTGTTGTTGAACTGGTGAACGTAGTCGCAAGCTTGGTATTGATTTGCTCACGTAGTAATCGCTCTGCACCTTGAAAGTTGGTGCCGTTATCGCTGTGGATTTCAACGGGAAATCCTCTACGGCACACGAATCGACGAACGCACGCTACACAGGATTCAGTTGTCAAGTTGCTCGCGATTTCCAGGTGGACGGCTCGTATCGTCAGACAAGTGAAGAGCGCAATCCACCTTTTCACTTTACTACGCCCAACTTTCACAAGAAAGGGACCAAAATAGTCCAGTCCAACGTAGCTGAATGGACGGGTGAATGGTGACAATCTAGCTTGCGGAAGTGGGGCCATCTGTGGAATGCTCGGTCGTGCTTTCCGTATCTTGCAAAGATTGCACCGAGCTGTGACGAAATTCACGAAAGAGCGAAGCTTCGGAATATGAAAACGTTGACGAATCTCATTGACTGTGGTCTCTTTGTTGCCATGCTTGAGTTGACGATGATAGTGATCCACCAGAAGCGCTGCCAGTCGATGTTTCCTCGGAAGGATGATGGGGTATTTGGCATCAGTTGAAGCACATTGCGCTGCCGCGATTCTGCCGTTCACGCGTAGAACTCCAAATTCATCCAGCATTGGTGTGACCTGGTAGATAGTGCTGGATTTCTCTAACGGTCGTTGTTGCTCTGACGGGAGGAAACGATTTGTAGACATGGTGATAATCTCGTCAGGAAAGGATTGCCACTGAACTAGTCGGAAAATTGAGTTTTCGGCCATTTTCAGCTCCTTCTTCGTAAGAACCTTGGTGTTAAGGCGAACATTGCGACAGTTGTTGGTGAAACGGTGAACGTATGCCATGACGCGTTGCAAATGCGTCCACTTCGAGAATCGTTCGATGTCTACAACACATTCGGGAACATGTATCTCCCGATGAACGTTACAAGCTCGTAGCTCTTCTTCTCCTGATTTTTCCGGATCACCTCTCTTCCAATCTCGCTCAGGTAAGTATAGAAATTCAGGTCCGCTGTACCAGATGCTGTTGGAATTGAAATACGGTCCAGCTCCCCACTTCGTAGCCTCGTCAGCTGGATTATCTTTCGATGCTACCCAGCGCCACTCGGTGCGGTCGGTCGCTTCCAATATTTCGGACACTCGGTACGCTATATAAGGACTGTACTTGTGAGGATCCGCACCAATCCAACTGAGGGCTGCACTTGAGTCGCTCCAAAATACCCGCTTTTTGATCGAGTAGGAATGGCCGTCGATAATGTATTTTGCGAGACGCGTTCCCATCACGCAGGCCTGAAGCTCCAATCTCAGAATAGTGACTGGTTTCAGCGGAACAACCTTCGTTTTTGCGGAAACTAGCGCTACTTCCACTTCTCCATCTTCGTTGACAACTCGAAGGTACGACACGCAGGCACAAGCGTCCCGGCCTGCATCGACGAAGGTATGTAGTTGAACGTTTGCTAAATTTGTGGCCCCTGTCTTTCGAAAGTAGCATCTTGGAATCCGAACGCTATTGATGTGATCGATCATCTCAGTCCATTGGCGCCATTGCTGGAACAACCGATCGTCTACTTTCTCATCCCAGCCGATTCCTAAACGCCAAGCGCTTTGAATGAGTACCTTGCCGAAGACCAAATATGGGGCGAGGAATCCCAGTGGGTCGAAGAGAGACATCACACACCGAAGAATCTGTCTCTTTGTTGGCTTGTGGCCGTTCTCGATGATGGATGCGACATCTCCACGCATCGTAGCTGAAAAACATAACTCATCGGACTTTGTCATCCAACGCATTCCCAGGACGCGTTCAGATTGCTCCTTTTCATCGAGACACATTTGCTTCACCGGATGCTGTTGACTCTCCCCTAAATGCTGAAGAACCGTTGGGCTATTCGAACACCAATTCCGAATCTCGAACCCTCCTCGTTTGTGGATCTCTCGGACTTCAGACGCAACTTGTTTCGCCTTATTCTCGGTGGAGAAGCTATCCAGATAGTCGTCAACATAGTGATTGAAAACTATCCCCTCAACAGCTCGTGGTAACTCCTTCTCGAAAGATCTTGCGTTAGCGTTCTTGACGTACTGTGCGATGGCTGGTGAACACGTCGCACCAAATGTAGCAACGTCCATACGGAACACTTGAGGTTCTTCCGAAGGGTCGTCACGGAACAGGAAACTTTGTGCAGAACGATCCGCACCTCTCGTACGGACCTGATGGAACATCTCTTTCACGTCTGCACTTACGGCTACAGTATATTGCCGGAACCGAAAGACTACGAAGCACAGTGGAGTTACCATGTCGGGTCCTTTTAGTAGAACCGAGTTTAAGGATATGCCATCCACTTTTGCGGACGCGTCCCAGATTAATCGAACTTTCCCTGGCTTGTTCGGGTTGGTCACCGCACCGTGCATTTTATAACTTTAGCAATATTTCCCAATCCTCGTTAGGATTTTCCTCTCTTTACAACATTCCAAGAAACCCTCCACCGCCTGAAATACGCATGCCACGCACGTTTAACCTCGAATCAGAACAATCAAGAATGAAAAATCAATTTACCTGCCATATTTGCAAAAGGTCGCCGATCGATTCGTGTTTTCCATATTTCACCTTGCCGGTTTTATGGCACCCACCGGCCGGCATGAATCAAATAGCAACCCCCCCCCCCCCCCCGATCATCCAACAACACCAAGAGAGAGAGAGATCCACCCGTGCATAATTCATAAATAATAATAATCGATTTTTTATTAATATTATTACTTCTACATGCTTGCTAACGTATTCGAATTGTTTGGCATAGTTCGATCCGTTGTTGTTTTGGTTGGTTAAGAGCGGGCTCGGTGGATTAAATTTCGATTACTTTCGCTGGTGTAACAACATGCCATGGATTACAGTTTTTCAGCTTAAATAAATAAAACATTAATCGATTTTTGGGAATTTTACAAAATCTCTTTCCTCCACGGATGGATTATTGCATCGCACGTATGTAACATCCAAAGCGTGAATGGTGCAGGCGAGGAAAAATTTCCAAACAGCTGGGTAATTTACATTTCGGAATCGCTCTGCGAACAAGCCTGCAATTTGAACCATTTTTTTTCGATCTCTTCCACCAACTTCAAATTTATTGCAATTGTATGGCCGGTTCGGTCGTGTTGATATTTTAATCAAGGCAATCTGGACCGTGTCGAACCATATTCGGACGTGATTTTCTGCATGCGTAGATTTCGTGCGAATGGAATTTATGGCCGAATGAGACAAACTGCATTTGTACGGAGAGTGGCCATTGAATGGGAATTGTGATAGATTACAGCTTATAGCTTTTGCAAATTATGGTAGTTTTTAACTAAACAATATTCGGTGTCGATCAATGTTTTTATTTGATAATCTGCTCGATTCTGGAAACACTTATTTTTGCTAGTGCAACTTATTTGAGAGATTAGGCAATTATTGGATCAGTGGTTTTCGGAATATTTTCAATATTGTTCAAACTCAAAGTCTAAGAGTGAGAGAGTTTCCAACTGCGGTAGGGAAATTCTCAATCATTTCCGATTGGTAATCTGTTATTTTACTGTCAGTTCTGAATGATTTAAGTCTGAAAACAGAAATTGATACGGTTAGCCTACGCATCCAAAGGTTTAATGAACTTTTGAATATAATACAATTGGCTAGAGATAGTGCTAATATATGTTTTTCTCTGTTTCTTTTCAGGTGGGTTGCCGTCATGATACTAAATAATGTATCGGTCAGAATGTGATAGATTTCGAGAAAAGTTCTGCATGCCTCCCCTTCGGTAACTGTTGATTGTCAGCTGGGGTTTGCACTCGCATTGTAAATATGTACAACAAAGTATATATGGAGGTAATGTAACCGTTACTGAATGGTCGCTTTGGAAAACAATTTAACAATCTTGATTCAAATCTTTTTTTGTGGGACCAAAAAACTACATTTTTTTTTCTTAAACATATCTGTTTCTTCGGGAATTCAGTGGTCAAAAATAAAATTCGGTGGACTGTAATTTTTCGGATTGGGTTTGAACTTCCGTACTTCACGACGGTCTTTATTTAAGTGAATTACATGTTGCAAGAAAAATCAAGCTAATCTAACTGTCAAAACAATCAGGGGGATAAGCCTGCACTACACGGTAAACATTAGTTAGACAAAATATATTGCACACTCAATTTTTGGGTAAACATTCTCCCCCCGGGAGCCGGATGGCTCAACACCTCATCTCCTGCTCGTTCGAAGTTCTCGTCATCAATCGGTAGCACAGCTATTTTCGTCGTTGCTCGTTTATAAGTGCCACTACTAGTTCGCACGGTCACCACGCGAACAATGCCGTCCTTGCCAGGGTGCGTTCCAACTATTCGCCCCAGCCTCCATGTCTGCGGTGGCAGATTATCTTCCTTCAGTACCACCAACAATCCGTCGCGTATCAATGTAGGATTCTTGAACCACTTCCCACGCCTCTGTAGTCCTGTCACGTATTCAGCAGACCATCTACGCCAATACGCTTGCTTCCTACGTTGAATCAGTTGGTATCGGGATAACGTCGACTCCTTCAGGTCACCATAGAACGGCTCCGCGATCGCTGTTAACTCGCGTCCAACTAGAAAATGCCCTGGACTCAAGACTTGGTAGTCCATAGGATCATCGCTCTGTGGAACTATTGGGCGCGAATTGAGAATTGCTTCTATCTGATGCAACAAAGTACACATCTCCTCGTACGTCAAATGCGATTCATTCAGCACTTTGTTCAAATGGTTCTTCACGGATTTGACTTCGGCTTCCCAAAGCCCTCCTTGGTGCGGCGCTCGCGGTGGAATACATTTCGAGGTAATACCACGGGACTGACAGAACTCCGCCACCTTGTTCTCCAATGCTTGCGACATCAACAAATTTTTCAACTCTGTTAACTGCCGCTCAGCCCCAATAAAATTCATGCCGTTATCTGATCGCATCTCGGCTACGTTTCCTCTTCGACTCACAAAACGATGCAACGCTCCTAGGAACCCATCCGTCGACAGAGAGCTCACCAGCTCCAGGTGGGTCGCCTTAGTACACATACACACGAAAACGCACACAAAGACCTTTCTCGGAGCTCTGAACCGGCCCTCCTTCAGAAAAAATGGACCAGCATAATCAACGCCAGTCCGCGAAAAGGGGTCAGCGGCGGTAACACGTACACTTGGAAAATCTCCCATATACTGTACAACATCCTTCGGCTTCATGTGGAAACATTTCACACACCTCCTCAACACGCGATTGATCGTGCGTCTCGCATTCACTGGCCAAAACTGTTGTCGAACCTTCGCAAGCAATCCGTTCAATCCGATATGTAATTGCTCTCGGTGGATCGTCTCAATCACCAAATCAGTGAAATGGTTCTTTTCCGGTAGGATCATAGGATGCTTCTGGTCCATCGACAAGTCGGAATGCCTAATTCGACCTCCGACTCTAAGCAATCTTTCATGCTTGTCAAAGATGGGGTTCAGGTTTCGAAGTTTTCCTTTCACCGGATTGTCCCGTTCGATATCCTTAATCTCCTCCTCGTAGATCACTTGTTAAACGATCTTAACCATTGCCAACAACGAATCACGATGATCATCACCGGTCAATTTGCCCCTTCTTCGCTCAACGCCCGACCGTTTCACACTGCAGTTGTGAATAAATCCAGTCACATACCCGAATACTCTCTGCATCCTACGATAATCACTACAGCTCTGAATCACATCATATAGTCGACTGTATTGTGCCACTACGGCTACTGTGGCCTCAGCGAAAACACTAGTCACATAATCGTCATTGTCTTCTTGCTCGGAATACTGTGTCTCAACCTCTTCCTCCACGGTTTGCAAGAACACAGGACCGTTCCACCATAGTTCACTTTTCATTAGTTCCATTGGTTGAACACCCCTGGACACGAGGTCCGCAGGATTGTCTTTCGTACCAACGTGCATCCATTCGGTGTCTGGGGTAAGTTCCAGAATCTTCACAACTCGATTACGCACAAACACCGGCAAACAAGAGTTCAGTTTCTTCAACCAACACAACACTATTTTCGAATCGGACCTCAGAACTAAACGTTGAACGTCTAGTTCTAAGGCTTCGCGCACTGTTTTCAATTGTTCTGCCAACAAAACTGCTGCACACAATTCCAATCTCGGGATTGTCATCTCCGATGGTGAGGCTTCTTCTTTTCCCACTCGATCTAACTCCTTCAACGGTGCAACTCTCGATTTTCCGCAGATCAGTTTCACACCAACCACTCCATCGGCGTTCACGCTCCGCAGATATATACAGCATCCGTAGGCTGGTTGAGACGCATCCGAGAATCCATGCAACTCAAATGCCACCGGGTGATCCACCGCAACACATCTCGGAATCTTCATATTTTTAATTTCACTTAATTCTGCTCTCAGCTTACTCCAGACTTCAAGTTCTTCGCTGGGAATCGCATCATCCCAATCAAGCTTCTTTCGCCATAGCTGCTGCATCACCAACTTAGCCAGCACCACGATCGGACTCAAAATGCCGAGAGGATCGAATAATTTTGCTATCTCACTCAACACTTGACGCTTCGTCGGAACTCCTGAAGTGATCGCCATCTTCGTGACACGGAAAAGAAATTCGTCACTCACCGGATCCCACAAGAGCCCGAGCGTCTTTATCACTCCATTCACGTCGATATCCTCAAAGCAAAGCTGTTTCTCACGGTTTTCGGCTGGTATCCCTTCGAAAAGCTTCGGATTATTTGCACACCACTTGTGCAGCTTGAAACCTCCTCTTTCTAGCAACTTCTGAAGATCTTCACGAAGTTTCTTCGCCTCTTGCATTGTGTTTGCACCCACAAGCGCATCATCAACGTAAAAGCACTTAAGTACAACCCTCGCTTCCGCGCTCGCTTCCGCGCTCGCTTCCGGAAAACTGTCTCGTTCGTCATGGGCCAGTTGAATCAATGACCTCGTCGCTAAGAATCCAGCAGGTCCTATCCCATACATTACCCGTAGCAATTCCAGATTCATCAATGGCTGCGACCGGTCGTCTCGCCACACACATCTTTGATATTTAGTGTGGGCACCATTTACCTTCACTTGTTCGTACATGCGCTGCGCATCAGTCGAGAATACATACTTGTACAAACGCCACCGCAGCAGAATGTCAAATAATGGACTCTGCGCAGTAGGCGCCTCCATCAACACGTCATTCAGAGATAAATTGGTGGTAGTTTTCGCAGACGCGTCAAACACCACGCGCAGTTTTGTCGTTGAACTATCGGGTTTAAATACGCAGTGGTGTGGCAGATAATAAGCTCCAGCAGTGTTCTTCTCGGCCTCGCTCAAAATCTTCGCGAGTCCGATCTCGATGTACTCGCGAATGAAATTAGCTTACCCTTGCTTCGTGCCGGGATATTTCTTCAATCTATTTTCTAATGCCTTGAACCGCTTCTCCGCTTGTACTCGAGAGTCTTCAAGTTCACCAGCGCCTTCACGAAACGGAAGTTTGACAACATATCTTCCGTCTTTGCCTCGAGCATACGTAGCCATGAAATGACGCTCGCAGTCGTCTATCTCCAATGGTTCGTTCACTTGCTCGTCAATCAGCCAGAAGCGTTACATCAACTCGTTCAACTGTTCATCACCACGGTTAGTAGGAACAACATGGTAGCTCTGAACACTGACAACGTTTCGAACATTGCACACGGGTCCAGCAACCATCCACCCAAGAAGGCTCTCTTGCAGCAACGGTAATTCTGTGGACATACTAATCTTGCCAATCTGCATCAATTCGTAGAATACTTCCGCCCCTATCAACATATCAATTCTACCAGGATCGAAGAATTTCGGGTCAACTCAGGAGGGATCGGCCAGCCCCTGGCATCAAGTTTCAACGAAGGTAGCGCACCAGTAACACGGGGTACTACCAGGTAATCCAAGGAAAACTCGTAATCTGTTGTCCTGGACTTCACTGTAGCAATGACCTTAAATTTCACAGTCGTCTTTGTACCATTTACACCGATAATCGGTACGTTCGCGCAAATCTTGGGCAATCCCAGTACATCACTCATCCTCTCCGATAGGAAGTTCGCCATTGCACCTGAGTCCAGTAGCGCACGGCACTTATGCACTACGCCGCCAGCATCAATCACGTTCACGACGGCAGTTGCCAGCAACACCTGCTTCACAGCCACGGACGGCATAACAGGAACTTCACATTTCGCCACAGTACGCGCGTCTTCACCGCTTCCGGAACCGCCAGCAACAGGACCCGCCTCAGCCTTGCCCGCCGCTGCTTCAGCATTCTCGTCCTTATCCTTGGAATGCATGAAGGGGTGATGTTTACTCTTGCATCCACACCACTTACTACTGTCGGTCTTGCAATTAACTGTACGATGCCCTCGCTTCAGACATAAGAAGCACAGACCCAGCTGTTTAGCCTTGGCATACCGACTATTCACGGTCATCTTTTTAAACATCTCACAAATTTCAATCAAATGTTCTTTATTACACATAGGGCAACATTTCGCTTATTGGATAGTAGCCGCATGCATGGGTTTCAGTATCTAGTCGGGAGATAACTAGATTCACGAGTATCGCTTCAGACAACCTGTCTTCCATCTTAAGATTGTGGAACTCGAGAGACTCCAACCGTTTTTCCACAACATCAAGCAAAGCCTTCAATTCCGCATGACTCTCCCTTGCCATTGGCTTCAAAGCCAGCAGCTGTGTGACATGGCCATAAACCACCATGCGAAGATTCTCGAATTTCTTCGTCAAAATCCTCCACGCTCCTTCATAATTGTTATCATTCAGTGTCTGTTGGTCTATAGCCCCCTGCGCCGTCCCAACTAGCGCCTTATCAAGATAATGTAGTTTGGTGGCTGGCGAATCTCCAATACATTTATCCAAAATATCCTTGAATCTGTCCTTGAATTTGTGCCATTCTCATAGTGGCCATCGAACGTCGGCAGCGGCGTCTGCTGCAGTAAGAGGGATGGCACCATCTGTGGAGTTCGCAATCCACTACCAGCTTGTTGAACAGGATTAATTTCGACCAACTTCATCTGTTTCTCGACATTCTGCCTTTGAACGTCTTCATGCGCTTGAATCATTTCGGCAAGCGAAATTCGGACGAACTCGTAGATCTCCTCGAAATCGATGTAACTCCGCTCAAACTCAGCTCTTCTCGTAGGGTCGGCTAGATAAATCCGATTTTGCAACGAGTTGTATTCGTTGTAAGCAGCGACAGCAGTTTCAACGTATAATTTAAGACCGTGATAAGAGAACTTACCGTGATCCTGGTTCGCAGCGTCGATTGCACGTCGAATGCGATCAACCTTACCCTTTAACGGCACCGCTGGTGTAGTGGTAAGCGTGATTACCTCTCACCCCAGCAGGCCTGGGTTCAATCCCAGTCGGCGCCGCCGGGATGTTCTGAGGCATAACATCTCTGATCACGCCTTCCTTCGGATGGGAAGTAAAGCCGTTGGTCCCCGGTTCATGAGTTGATGGGTCGATAGGTAGGGTCCAGGTGTGGGAGCTGCCTTCCTGGCACGTCGGTAGCATTGGTGCTCAGCACGGAAAACAAGATCGACGGAAAAAAACAAACCAAAGAAAAAAAAAAAAAAACCTTTCCCTTTGTTGCAACCGAGCACTGCACCAGCGCTGCAACCGATTCCGCCATTTCCAGTCGTTTTTGCCGTGCTTGCTGCTCTTCCCTTTGAGCCCGCACACTGCTGGTTGCTGTCGGTGTAACGTCACCAACGGTCTTGTTGGTGTCAGTTTCTTCAGCCTTGACAACGTCAGCCCGAGGAGAGCGGAACGTAGAAGAACCAAGGTTAGTAGCGACGGGCGTCGAAAACACAATCCTTCTTTTCGGGTTTCCCGATCGCAACAGCATACCACTTTCACTGTTCTTCTTCTTTTCAGTTTCAATTTCTATT